TTTATTTCTGGGTTTTTGATTCAAGCCAACTGATCAACATGTCTGTTTTTATGTCATACCATGTGATTTTTAATTACCACAGTTCTGTAGTACAACTTCAGATCAGGGATGGTGATACCTCTAGCAGTTTTTTTATTGTTTAGGGTTATCTTAGCTATTCTGGGTTTTTTTGTTTGTTTGGTTGATTGGTTGGGTTTTGTTGTTGTTGTTTTCCATATGAGGTTGAGAACTACCCTTGCAAGGTCTGTAAAGAATTGAAGAATCGTGTTGGAGTTTTGATGGGATTTCATTGAATCTGTAGATTGCTTTTGGTAGGATGGTCTTTTCACTATGTTAATCCTACCAATCTATGAGCATGGGAGATCTTCTGATATCTTCTCTAATTTTTCTTCAGAGACTTGAAGTTTCTGTCATATAAGTCTTTCACTTGCTAAGTTAGAGTTACCCCAAGATATTTTATATTATTTGAGGCTATTGTGAAGGGTGTTGTTCCCCTGATTTCTTCCTTAGTTTCTTTGGTTTGCCATTTGTATATAGGAAAGCTGCTGGGTTGTTTTGTTTTGTTTTGTTTTGTTTTTCCCAGTTTGTCTTGTATCCAACCACTTTGCTGAAAATGTTTATCAGCTATAGGAGTTCTCTAGTAGAATTTTTACAGTCACTTACATATACTATCATATCTGTAAATAAAGATTTTTTGACTTCTTTCTTTCCAGTTTGTATCCCTTTGATATCCTTCATTTGTCCTATTGCTCTACCTAAAATTTCAAGTACTATATTGAATAGATGTGGAGTAGACAGCCTTGTCTTGTTCCTGATTTTAGGGGAATTGCTTTGAGTTTCTCTCCATTTAATTTGATGTTGGTTACAGATTTGTTGTAAATTGCTTTTATTATGTTTAGGTATGCTCCTTGTATCTCTAATCTCTCCAAAACATTATCATGAAGGGGTATTGGATTTTTTTCAAAGGCTTGCTCAGCATCTAATGAAATGATCATTTTTTTCTTTCAGTTTATTTATCTGGTGGATTACATTTACTGATTTTCATATGTTGAACCATTCCTGTGTCTCTGGGATGAAGCCTATTTGATCATGGTAGATGATCTTTTTGATGTGTTCTTGGATTCGGTTTACACGTACTTTATTGAATACTTTTGCATCTATGTTCATAAGGGGAAATGTTCTGTAATTCTTATTGTTGCGTGATAGAGGATGTTCTGTATGCTGTGAGTGTGTGTTTCTCTTATTGGTTGGTGAATAAATGCTGATTGGCCAGGAGCCAGGCAGGAAGAATAGGCAGAGTGACCAGACTAGGAAAAAGCTGGGAAGAAGAAGGCAGAGAGTGGGTCACCGGGGAGATGCCATGTAGCCCCTGCCAAACTGAGTAACATATCAGAGCATTACGGGTAAGCCACGGCCTCATGTCAATACATAGGTTAATAGAAATGGGTTATTAATTAAGAGAGAGCTACCCAATAAGCCTGAGCCATCAGCCAAACAGTTTATAATTGATATAAGCCTCATTGTGTTTTGGGGACTAAACGGCTAGGGGACCAGGCAAGACAGAAACTCCATCATCAAATGGCACCCAACTTTTGGCAACTATATCCACATAAATCCTGAGAGAGCTTGGGAAAGGATTCTAAACACAAAAGAACAGAGGCAAGCACAGCTTCTTAGTAGCAGCATTTTTTCAGGTGAGCTCT